TTAACCGCATTTGATATTGTTTAACATTCATTCCTTCACATGTATGTAGACTGTAGCTGACTAATTAGTAGTTACCTGAGGTCTCTAGCAATTGTATTTCAGATAATTTTCTTTTTTGTCTTAATCCAAAGTGATTTTTGTACGTTTTTGTCATTAAAGTACTATTGGAAGTAAAAGACTCTTGTATAATTTAATTTTTATTACCATCTTACATCAGTGCATATTTTTACTTTGAAGTCTTTTCAATTATAATTGACTTGATAATGTAATGTGTTGGGCAGCATAAACACTCAACTTTTTAGTGGGAACATTTTTTCTTTTTGTTCTAGAAGTTACAAATAGGTCATGTGTTTCATTCTTTTTATATTCTGTATGTAATTGGTTGAGTAAAGGGTGTTTACTTACATGCATGTATTAAAAATACCTACCTCATTTATTATTTACCATCAAGAAACAACTATTTGTTTTGTTTTAAACTAACACACGGTTTTGTTTGTTGTAAAAAAGAATATCTATGTTTGTAGCAAGTTTTAATAACAAACAACTTACAGTTACGGAACCAACTTTTTTTTTAATTAGCTGAGATTTGTTTGTAGTGCTTATTCAAATGTAGGTGTTACGAAGTAAGTGATATGCAATATCCTGTAGAAAAATAGAATGATAAGATGAGTATTATAAACACTTTGAACATGTGACTTGAGTGAATAAAACGTGTGATGCTTTGATGCTTTATTTTTTTGTTAATTTAGATTTTCTAAGGGTAAGTGTTTGATTTTTACACAATTACAAAATGAAGCATCAATTAAAATATATCCATTTTGACTAGAGTAACTGAGATAAATACTATTTGCAATTGTATTTACAAGACATTTATTTGTTTATTGTCTGGCTAAACATTTTATCGTTTTATTTACGACTTCGGTAAACTTTTCGTTTTTTCGTTGGAAGTAATAAGACATTTAAATTAGTTTACTTCAATATTATCATGAATGATCTAACAATTTTACATTTGTCAATGTAAATACATACTCAAAACTAATTAATCTTTTATTTCAAGAGATTTTGTATGGAAAATCGATAAAATTTTGTTGTTTTCAACACTTTTCGTTTTGTTCATTTATTGTAATTTTTCTGTAGTGTTCAATGTTAAAAAAGTTATTTAAATCGAAAAAAGAAAATTTAAGTGATGAGTAGGACACAAATTCGATAAAAAGATTTTTTTGATAACTTTATTAGTTTTTAGTGCACTCTACTCAAAAATGTGTGACATTTGTTTTCAAAGAAAGTTTTTCTTTATTTTAAGGAGATTGGGTTTACTCTAGAGTTGAGTATTCTCTTCACAGGTCTTTAAAATGTTTTGTGGCTCTGTACCTGTCTAAGATCGTGTTTTTGAGAGTTTTCTTTAAACGCATTAGAAAGCCGTTCTTGATAAAATCTCGTTGCAAGCTCCTGTAATGAGAGTTTGTTCAAGAGAACCGTAGACTTATTCAATCGTTTCTCGCTCTCATCAGGCACAGTCTTTTAATTTAAAGTAATTGAGGTCGATTGTGTTTTTTCATGGTGTTACCCAGCAGCGAACATCTCAAGCATTTGTGATTTGGCCTGATTTATCGTGGCGCTTAGTTTCTGTTTTCTCTAAGTGTTCGTTTTTCTCCCATTCACGGCGGTCGTTCGCACTTCTCTCGTTCTCATGTAAACAAAATGTGACGGTCTTAACTGAAGCGGATGTGACGTACTTTTATGGGGTGTGTTCGTTTGGACAGATCGCATTATTCATTCATAACGCGAAGTGCCGACTCGCCCTTTGCAGGTTCTTCTACCCCTTTCTTGTCCCGGTGTCTTGTATTTTTTCGTCTTTTACGACTTTAATATTTCAATTTTTCGCGATTGCCTCGACCCACACCAAGTGCAGACTTACGTGTTGATACAGAAAAGGACCTTCATTTATTTCCTCGCTATCCCTCAATGATTGATGGATATGCATGTGGGTTGTGGATCCTGCTGATAAAATGTTTCAGATAAGGATGCGATATTTCTAAATCTCTTACATTAGCAATTCGCAATCTAGTCGGGAAATTTTCTCATATATTGGTTGACAAAGATTGTATGTCAAAGAAAAACTGATTAACATTCTGGGAAGTCATTTTAGTGATCATTGGTTGGTAGCATTACAAAGACGTAATCTCCATGAAATAATGAAATATTGAAAGGGAATACTAAAATCAATATTGAATTTACAGGCGTAAAAGCATGCCATTAGGTATTTTATTTGTACATTTTGGATTTAATCGTTATACATATTTTTTACAAGATACGGCGTTTGTATTCATAAAGAATCCCTCTTCATGGAGCTTAAGGGAATTCATGTAAATTCTCGGTGCGACAATTTTTCAGTAAGTGAAATGCGGAAAAAGATGAATAATGGACAAAAAATGGATGAGTAATTTTTAGCTAGAGAATTTCAGTCGTAAAATCCTTCACTTGTGTTTAATAGTGAATTCGAGTGTTAATTAACGTAAAAATGGTCAATTTGTCTCTGATTTCATTTAGATAAAATTTGAAATCTCTATGTATCCATCTCTGAGGTTAACATTCCTGTTCTGAATGCGGTCAGTGCGTGGAATTCCAATGGCAAATAGTCTCTTCCGCAATTTGTAAAAGGGCTGCGCTTAAATTTGTCTATTATTAAGCTTTTAGCTGGGGAGTTTAATTCAAAAAACATTGTTTGATGTGTTATTAGAGGGTAAAGATATTTTACTTCAGTAGTTGAAATCTTTAAATACATAATTTCCTTTCACTGTTGATTTTATTAAACAGAATATACTTTCGCTTTCTGTGTACGTTATTTTAGGTGTATTTACCGGCTTTTATGGAAATTATTGCTTTGGATGATTTTGTAATGTAGAAATTTAGAGAGAGTCATCCCACACGCTTTCATATAAAATTAATTTCAATGCAGTGCGAATATTAATTCGCTAATTATTGTGTTTGTGCAGTCCAGTGTTTCCAATTTACTCAAATTGTTTTTTAAAAGAAATACTCCTAATTTATTTTCGATCGTGTTTTTGAAGTAAACACCGTTTCGGGTAAGTTGAGTCACATTGATGATTCAAAGTCTTTGGTAAATATTGACTTTACCTGATTTTATGACTTACTTAACATAATCGCATACGTATTATTCTCTTTAATAAAAGGAGTTGTTTTCGGATAACAGTCTCTCAACATTATTAGCAATTACCCAATTACAGGGAAATACTTAACAAAGTTATTCTTCGATGTTTGAACTCATATATCACGTTTATTCCGTAATCTGTTGACACTAATTGTCAATAAATTAATAAAAGACTCGCATACAAATCCACTGTAATCAAAATAAATCGATTCATAATTGGGATTTTATTTAATTCCGAGGTAATCAGATTAAGAACAGTGCCGAATACAACTGATGATATTTTTAATTTTTTCTAGATAACTTTCGGGTTAATAGCTTTAGGCCCTGGAGATAAGTTTTATGCCCAACATTAAAAGTTATCCCTGTGTACAGAATATTTTTATGGAACACTTCAAAAGTCGATTTGAGTGAGATATGTTTGAGAGAAAACAAAGCTGTGAAGTGGTGTATCGATTTTTTTTCGGATAAATTTTGTTTAAAATGCGACCTTTTTATCGTGTTTCTTATTTGAAATTTTATTGAATATGCATACAAATTTACATATTTATCTTATGTTGGAAACATAATATTGTTTATCGACCCATTAATGCGGGCATAAATTGGTCTTTAGGGCACAGGCCAATATTCTAGTAATCAGAAGAAAACGTTGAATGTATCATAGGCATAATTGTCGATTATGACTCTCGTGCCACATAGCCTCTCGATTATGCTCTTAATACCTGAATAACTTATAAATGCCGGGCACATGATGCAGTTTTAAAAATAAATATGGCTAAATATGCTTTGTAGTACAATAACATAAATACAACAATAAGGAAGCTTCGTTTATAAATTCTTTTTATTCTGATACGCCACAATCCTTTACTATTGTATCTCCAACAGAATTACAGCATTTATGATATGATTGAAGAGATCGCGAACTAAAATTATTATGTTTAAATCTGTTCTGAAATAACTCTTTCTTGTCCACTACTTATTACATAAACATGCCTTGTTATATTCAGAAATAGCGTATCGTAAAACCGTATGTCGTTGATTTTGAAAATTGTAATAAACTACGCCTAAATATAGTGTGAATTAGGCGGGATGCCCTCAAGGTGCACCTCTTTGTTAAAATGTGAATTAGGGAGCTTCAGATTCTAATGCGCAATAAATACGAACAAATTTTGTTATCAATGCATTTATAAAACAAATTTCATTTTAATCAACTCGGAATTGAATACCTAACCTTCTTATGTATACTCATATAAAAAATATTAGAAGTAGAAGACGACACTCCAATAATTTTAACCAATCTTTAGAAGAGTTTTTTGAAAATAGAGACTTGATGGTTTAATAGTCTGATAAAAACAAAATCCGGGGTTGTGTTGGTTAAAGAAAGTATCATTGTTAAATAACTGGCAGATGTTTGGAAAGATAAGTATTTTGAGTGGTTTTATTTAATTTTTGTGGAAAAATGAGTGGTACAAAGTGCCAACTTTAAAACGTTTGTCATAGTTGGGGTAAATTACAACGGTAAAAATGTGCTCGCCTTTGTGCTGAAATGGGCGAGTGGTGTATGCATTTTAATAACCCCGTGTGCACAAGTAATGCGGCCGGATGTTTTTGATATGAAAATGCATTAAAACATTTGTGTAATTTTTCGTTTTCTCGTTTTAACTGTTAAATGCGGTTTGTCCCGTCCGGTGAGCGTCAATGCTAATTAGGATTATGAGAAGGCACATTGTCGTGTCGGGCCGCCCCAGTGCAATCCTATACATCCCTTCTATGTGATATTAATTCTTCACGGTCCATGCACCCCGTCTAATTGTGTGTATGTCCGTTGCAGGTTGCTGGCGCTACTGTCGCAGTGCAAGTGGAGGGGAAGTCAGCTGGCACCGGCGTCGCGACGAAGCTTTGCCAGTCGACGTCAAGCGTCTCTTTGGATAGCGTCGCATCGCGTCACAATTTTTTATATCAAAAACTACAAATGTGTTGTGTTGATCTCGATAGTGCTTTCGATCTGTGATGAGAACTACCCTGTAGTTTTTTAACAAAGCAATTCGTGTTTTTTGAGTGTTTTGTGATTTTTTGACATGTTTTGGTGGTAGCGCTGTTTAATTATGAAAAGCCTTTTTCTTTTAGCCGCGTGCGCGTTCTCCGCGTGTCTTGCGGCTTGGCAGGAAAATGTAAGGCCCAAGATGTATGTCCAATTAGGTAAGTCATTTCTCAAAATTAACTCTATTTTAATTCAAATTACTATAATTGAAAGACGATCTTGTGCAATGCCGTTCTCTATTTCAATTAACTCTGCAAAAGCGACTTTTATTGACACAAAAACAACAAATTTTTAGTTTTTCGACATAATAATAAAAGTACATCAGTATGAATAATTATTTACCATCAGATAGATTGTCACATATTGTCTAGAATGTGTTTCTAAAACATGTTTATCATAAAACACTAATGATCCAATAATCGGACGAGGTGTTTTGCTTTTTATCAATTTTAGTTCTTTGAATTAATGAAGTGCATAGGTTTAATTTTAACTTTCATTCTTCTACAATTACAGCCACAGTTTTTTAATGGTTATTGAAATGATAATGTTGTCGCCTTGGGTAAATGTATTGGTTTCCATACATTGATCGATTTTTGTTCTCGTATTTTGATATTATGCTTAATGTTTTCGATGACACTGATATCAGAAATGCATTAAGTAAATTGCAGCATTTTACCAAAAAATTATAGTGAATTTTGTTCGAGATTAATAGGAGTGTTAATTAACTACAGATTTATCAACAAGAAATTTCCACCTAGGATTCAAACTTTTAGGAAAATTTCGTTTTTCATGTTGAATGTAACTAGAATTTTTAGAAGTAATTTTGAATGCAAAAGGTTGTGGTTGTTGACAGTTGACAATTGAAAGATTCATTGTTATACAAGTTAAATTTTTGACGTAAAGATACGATGTTACTGGTTTTTCAGTTTACTCAAATTATTCAAAGATGTACAGTTGTGGAATTAAAATTTTGGGCAGTACTGTGATTTTCATAATGTAAACTCTAAAACAACCTTTATATTAATAACTTCATTTTTTATTTTTCGACACTGTCAAAATTTACGGTTTTTCTCCCATGTAAGGAAGTTTTGACAACTGTTTGGCATTTCTCAATACAAAACGTCAAATTATTTTTAACAGATTTAAAGCGAGTTCAAGCCTTGTTGACTCTAATTCGAAGAATAAAATGTTGTATTCCACTCGTTTGAGTGTAAATCGGACGCTTTATTCCACCTCGTGGATGGTAAACCACTCGGTGAAATAAAGAATCCGATTTACACTCAAACTCGTCGAATAAATAACTATTATTCTTCTCATATTTATGTCGTTTTGACTTATTTACTTTCAAAAATAGTGATTTGTGGTATAATAACGGGTAGGCAGCAGATCAAAGCGATGATTTAATTACACGTAGTTCAATTAATAAATTTCCTAAGACAGACAAATTGTTTAATTAAAAAATTTAACAAATAATAATAAGTTTAGTTGTCAAATGTCAGTCATGATGGCAGTAAAAGGTAGTTTACAGTGAACTTTTTAAAGTGACAGAAAAATACTGCCCGAAATTTTAATTCCGCAACTGTACATAAGTAACTTACATAAATAGTTCCAAGTTTATCTGTCACAGAAACAGGAACTGGAAACACCGACTCCGTGGCGCAACGGTAGCGCGTCTGACTCCAGATCAGAAGGTTGCGTGTTCAAATCACGTCGGGGTCAAAACCTTTTTTTCTGATATTTGTAAATAATTTGCCGATTTTATCTAGTTTTTAATAATTATTTATTTATGACTACTAAATAATATTTTTAGATTAAAACATTTTTAAACAAAATTATTGTTTACTATCCGAAGTGATATGTATTGGCACAAATATTTGCTTTTAAATTTCGGTGTGCCGTTGGATAAGCGATTGTTTTTTTCAATTTTCGATATTGTTTTGCAAATATTTGTTTAGTAAAAAACGTGTTTTGTGAACATCTGATGCGGATGTGTATCGAAAATCTAAATAAAAACGTGGCTAACGGTGCTCTGTCTTGAATGTCTTGAATAGTAACATTAATTCCCGTCATTTATCTGTCAAATTTACTAATTTTTGAACACATTAAATATTGATTTAAACGATTTTTTTGTACAAAATACCAAAAGGAAGCATTATTATAATGTGCTGTAGTATATCTTGTTAGTGTGTTAAACTAGCATCTAATCGACATACGTTTATGAAATTTTCACATCACTCTTCACGTTTTTATTTAGACTCACTATAGTGTGGAATGTTAGTTCATATCCTGTCATGGAAGAAATAAAAACAAACATAAATTCAAACACAAACAAAACCGCACACAAATGCAACAAATTGCAAATTTATCAAACCGACAGCAACTGCATTGGTGTATATCGGTTTGAACAATTACTCTAAAGATATAATTTTAATTCAACCAATATTCACTGCAGTAATTTTAGTTGTAGTGAGGAACATTTAAATAGGATATAAATAACTTTAGCCGCCGTTTTGTTTAGTCGATTGGAATAAAAACATCGGATTTGGATATTTGTCAGAAGTCGGAACAACTGTTTGGAATAAGATAAATCGGTTAGTTATTGGCTTCCATTTGAAACGTACGAATAACTTAATTAAAAAAATAAGGGAGTAGTTAAGGTTGATTAATGCTATTGGGGTTTTTTAATTAACTTGATTTTTCTGTTTCTAAATCTAATATTGAAGTGAAGGGTTAATTGTTTAACAATACGTTCATCAATTCCACAAGTGTTCTGTTAGTGGTAAATTGGAACCATTGAACAGTCACACGTTCCTTCAGACACTGTAGGAATGGGTTAGCCAAAGGAAGTGCTATAGTTATAAAAGACTTATAAGTTACTCGGATCTATTTATGACGTTGTAGTATCTATATTTAAACGAGAAAGTAATAGTGATGGCGATAATTAACACAACTTGTGAAGTAGTTTGACTGTTATGGTCCTGAATGTCAGTAAATATCACTTCTTTGCTTTACTTCAGTGCAGCAATTGTTATTAAAAATGGAAAATCACATAACTTATTTGAATGTTGTTTCTTCCAACACAACTAATTAGTTGTTATTCTAAATTAATACGACACATTCAATTAATCTAAACCAATAATGAGTATCATTATTGTTTTAGTTTAATTCTAACATCACTTAGAAACTAGTAGTATTTGGGTAATAGATGTTGGCAATGATCAAAATTTAATAAAAATCGTGGTTTTTTGGAGAAAAATCTAACGTTTAACAAGTTACTTTACATGGCAAGAGAAAAAGGTTATTTTTTTATTGGGCGTAAAATTTATCTTTTAAAATGCATTTTTTAAATCTTGAAATGTCAGTGAAAGTTTAATAAATTACTGAAATTACTGAACTATGAAATATAAAATTACAAGAAATATAAATACCTTATACATATCTAATTAATAATAAATTGTGAAAAAATGTGAGACATTTATCGATTTACGGTTTATAGGTAAATTTTGTTGGTAACAACATTTATAGTTTTAGACGATTAGGCAATCAAATAATAATTAAAATAAGATAAAAGGGGGCGCAAATTAGAAAAAATTGCATAAAACACATGTTTTATAATGGCATTGGGGCACTCATCCCATAGAAAACTCGCCTACGGCTCGTTTTCTAACTTGGGATTCGTGCGCCAAATCAACCTTTATAAAACTTGTTCTTTAATATACTATTAATACATATTGTTGTTTCTATTAAATAATTATTAAATAAGAGTACCTAGTTATCAGATATCTAATTTTAATCATTGTTATTTATTGAATTTGTGCTGTTATTCTACTCTCTTGCGCACCAGGGTAGAATTATTTTGATATATTTTGTAAGTGATATCTTTGGTAATGTAAATACTACAATAAACTTGTGTGTATTTAGCATAAAAACAAGTTGTGTCAAAAACCATGGTGATTATGGTATGAAAATTGGGTAAATAATTTATTACTGAGTAGATTTTTGTAGGCGCGCTTATCTTAAGTGCAAAATTTTTACAAGGTGCGTCGTATAAATAATAAATGTGTTCTCAGATACTGTGACGTTCTAACTTTTGTAGATTTCTCGAAAAATTGAATAATTAATTTTGTATATTGTTCTTTGAATATGTTTTTCAGCGGCGTGTCACCCGTAGTACATAAATCTCCAATAAAGTCGAGGTAGTAGAGCAAAGTGGAATAATTTATGTTTCGGTTTAAAAATGTACATTTGACATTTTCGAATTTATTTTGACGTTTTGTACTTTACCACCCCCACACGTCCTAGTAACATAAGTCAAGTTATGAGCGTGCCGCGGTTCTTCGTACGTACTGTGTTCTACTGCGACTTGTTTTTCCTAGATTCGTGTTATAAATCTTCCAAGTTACCTTGTCTTGGTTGGTGTTTCCGGTCTATTCGCTGCCCAACAGCCCCTCGGAAACGGAGACGACATTAAAATGCCAGCATAGTCGTGTAAACAGAAATGTTAATTTCGTATTGTGATTTAATGCAATCTAGATTTTTAATTTCTTCATCCGACGTGGAACTATTTTTGAGTCGGTTGACGTCCGTCGCTGGTTCAAACGGAAAGAGTTAATTTTAGAAGTGCTCGAAGAATTTTCAATGCACGAACAGCTTTCAACTGCAGTCAAGTGCGTTGCAACGAAACACAAAATAAATAAATTTAATATATTCTTTACATCTTTGGGTCAGGTGGTATCGTGACTTACATGCATACGAAGTGTAACTTTGTTTCAATCCTTGGAGCTGATTTGCATGCGTTTGTCGTGTTTTATATATTTTGTACATGTACTTTTCTAGAATTGCAATTTAGGTGACTCAGGTGTCTTTTTATTTTGGCGCTATTATCATATAAACAGGTCATTAACGTCGATGAGATTACATGAAGACTCTTGCAGCCCTTGCCATTTTTTTTATTTCGACAATTAAACTGGAGCTGTTATTTTTAATGAGGCATGCACAACGGTGTCAGGGAAGTTTGATAAGTCCAATGGATTGCCTTGCATTAATTAGGTTTACCTGTTCTTTCTAAGTTTAAATTACAAAGCAAATTAGATTAGTCGATTATGATTTGGATGCATTTAGTAAATGGACGTGGATTTTTTAAGAAAGTAGTTTCTAT